GTCCCTTACCTTGTTTTCACAGGATCCCACTCTAGTGAGTGTTGTTTAGTATGTGTGCTTTGTTAAACCAATTCCACACAAGCAACCACTATTTCACTATAATTACTACTGGTTGTAACAGGCTCTGTATAAATGTGGTGTTCCATAAGACCACCTAGGAGCTCACCAGGTGGTATTACCATACTATGCTTGATCACCATTCATGGGTAAAGCTAAAGGGGATCCTGCCCATCACTGCCAATCATCAGATTGAATAAATCAGGGCTGGTTTGCTTTTAAAATTTTATGGAACACTGTTTCCAGAGCACTGTTCCTCAGGACTTCCTAACAAGCAACCCCCCCCCCCAGATTCTACTATTGAAGCTTGGGAGTCTTTACCACACCTGGTTTCCAGTCACTAAGGTGGGGGGGACAGAGGCTTTTCCTCCAGAGTGTTAGAGTGAATTTCTCCACTCTTGGAGAAGATGGTAGTTGGGGGCCCTTCTGCGTGGGTCCCTGGATGTTTTTCCCAGATGTTGGTAGGAGTGACACCATCCTACATGGGAGCCTTCTCGCAATACCGGTTGAGATTTGGTGCTCAGCTATCTGGTTGGGATGTGCATGGCCCTTCTTTACAATAAATATTGGTTCAGTATATTGCTCATGGAAGATGACTCACTGTGTTCTTGTAACTCCGAATGCAAAGTGGTCCCATCCTGGGTCCTTGGTTGAACACAGTTGTTCCACATCCTCTGCATAATTCTGGGGGCAAGTGGATGGCTTCTTGCCCACTTAGTTGGGGAGTGAGGATAAATGCTCATAATTTCAGTCCAGATGGGTTCTGTTCCTTTGGTTGAGTAAAGCATACATGATTCTGTCACTCCAAGCCTGAGATGTTGCTATTCAGGCATCTTCAGGTGGAGAAGGTTTGTCTGCTTTGGGGTTGCATACTTTCTTGTTGTGATTCAATCAAAAGTATATCTATATATAATGTTGCTGTCGAATTGTCCTAGCCACCAATGTTATGATATAGAGACCAAGACCTTTTAATTCCAACCCTGAGTAGTGGAACCTCAGCTGTATCTGGTTGGGGCTGGCCTATAGTGATGATCACTCATGTCAACTCCATCCTTGATACGGGAACTAAGTTCAGGGTGAAGAACATACGTGTTCTGGAGGTAGTGCGGTTCTCCCACTCTTATCTTGGTACATCCCTGATCTATACAGACACTTTCTCTATGGATAATGCCCTCACTGACCCCTCCACATTCTCAATGTGGTATTCTAGCTATAAGTGGCAACAGAGGTAAGTATGTTTTGGAAGTTAACATTTTCCTAAATTGAAAATGTATTTCCAATAATATTTACCTTCGCTGACACTTTGCCGCTTTTCCCCTTCACTAAGAGACTGATAGTATCAATGTCAAAAAAAAGAGATAAAAGTATCTGAATGAGGTGCTTATATACAGTACCAGGATAGAGGGTACATTGATGTAGGAGGAGAGTATTACAAGACAAATATCACCAAATGCAGTTGTGTGGGGTATGAAAGACTGGAGCAAGCGAGAAAAAATCAGACCAATGCTTAGATGGGCAAAGAAGAAACCCTGGTGGTCTAGTAATAGCTATTAATGTCAATGGATGTAAGTATTATTGGAAATATATTCTCAGTTTAGGAAAATGTTAATATCAGATATGTGAGCTTTGTTATTTCATTTTTGGTAGATCAATAGATGGTGAAAAGGTGCCTAAGAATTTGGGAGTTTTTAATATTACTTGCATGTTCAAAGAGGGTGATAAGAGTTGCCCTGGAAATCATAGGCCAGTTATTGTTACTCCTTCACTGATATAAGAAGCTTTCAACAATAATCTAATGATGTTTAAAGTAACTTTTGGAGTACCCTTTGATTTGTGTAATAGACATCTCTTGGAGATTACTACTTATGTATTTTATGAAAAACATTTTAAAACATTTTTTTAAAGATAATCTGAATATTTCCTACTTGGTGAATGATTCACTAATGAATGAATCACTAATGTCAACTAGAAATGACAGCATGGTTGATGTTTTGTTTGTTTTTATAATACGCAGGTATAATCCACTGATCTTGTGTAAATCAAATAAGGGTAATGTTTTTATTTAAAACATATCACAATTACAATTAGAAATAATTAAGTAGCTAGTTACCCAATTTATTTATGTGTATTGTTTGAATAGGGTAAATAATCTACTATATAAAGACAGAAACCGTCCCTCTGCTTGTCTTGGCAATATCTTGGCTGTTGTGGTACTGATCAACATGCAACTTGGATGAAACAACAGTGGTTTCTGCTGTGACAAGCAAGCTTATCTTTTTAATATTGACCTTCCTTGATTTACCATGGGAAATTTTCTCACCTTATGATGGTATTGTGCCCCAGGTCTTGTGATGACCGAGGTGGACTTCTCTGATGCTTCTTTTCTCATTTGGCTCCATCCCAACAAGCCTCCACCTTCTTATTCTCCTACTTTTATTGATCAACCTGGAAAAGATGCATTGTATACTCATTTAGATTCTCATTCATGTGGGTGTTTTTCAGTTTGCATCTCTACAGGGCCCAGCCTACTCCTCTTCTTTTGAGGGACATGGAGCAATTAGTTTCCCATACCTTATTCTTTCACTCTGTAAGGAAGTTTCTCTATTTTATTTGGGGACTTGGGATTCCATTAGAATCTCTTATCCCCTTGAGTCATGCTCATTTATGACATCTGCAATAGACTCTGCAAGATCACTGGTTCCTTGCTTGGGTTCCATTTTACTCTCAGAATCTCTGACACTATGGCAGGTGGTAGGTTCCTGCTGTACAGTTGCAGAGCAATTAGGTGCACATGATTCCAGGCTCCTTCATTATCCATGGTCTAGGTTTGTTTGAGAGGCTCATCTCTACATCATGGTCCATCCACTTTACCATTTTGTGTCTGACATATCTACTGGAAAGTTAGCTCCTGTTGGCAGACATCCACCATCTGCACCTCCAGTATCTCTCCAGTGTTTTTAGATGGCTTCATCTAGAAGTTATGGCTGATGTAAATCTTTGAGTCCTATAACAGACCATCACACCATTTCAACAGTCTTCAGTTGTCCATGTTTTCTTGTTCTGAGATTAATCTGCAGTAGAAGAGAATGGACAGCTATTATGGATGTACTAAACATCAGTAACTTTTCCTGAATAACTGGCTATAAATAGAAAGAAACCATATACCTTTGCAGCATTGATGAAAGGCCAACATTCAGAAGAGGACTTCTCCTACACTGAACAACCATCTCCTTCTTGTTCATAAGTTCTTCTAGTTGTGGAAAGTGCCATTTCCATTACTGAGAAGTCCTTTTAAACATAATACATAATAGTTCAAGTAAAGGACAGTATGCACTTCAGCAGAAAGACTCCATACTACAATATCTTGTGATCATGGTACCAAAATTTTCTTCCTATCCACTCTGTGGTATATCCAGATAAAAGTTAAATATACTTAAGTGCAATTAAATAGATTTACAGAATAACAGGAAATTTGATCAGGATATATATATCATGGAATAATGCTTTATCTTGGAATATCTGAGTTTGACGAAGAAAGAGACTGGACACAAAGTATTGCACAAAAGGAACAATCTTTATTTAGATCACATACAAAAATGTGTGTACTTGCTGTTGTTACAGTAGAGGATTGCTTTTACTGGATATTTAAACATCTTATTCTTCAAGATCATTTACCAGATTAACTTAATCCAGTGTTCTTTACTTTACAAGAAATATATTTACCACAGTGATTAGCCTTACCCACAGGACTGGTCATTCTCATTCAAACACAGGTGAGGCTTGTAACCTCAAGATATCATCTCAACTATTGCTGAAGGACAATGCTGTTGATATCCTTGCATAATGTGAAATATTGAAACAACACAGCCCATATTCAGAACAAGTATTATCTCCTTGAGAACAGCAAAGGAACAAGTGCTGCTAAAACAAGATGAATTTAATGGCTTTCTCTACTATGTGTTATATAAAACCTGCACATAATCAGAAGAAGTGATAAACTCCATATAAATACTATCATATTACAAGAAGATGGAAGAAAGCAGAAAGCCATTATAAAGGGGGTTCATGGTTCATTCAAATTGAACCTTTGTTACTTGTGGAGTCTCTTACGGATCAGTGATTGAGCCTCAGATGGCCCCTCAATTTCTACACTTCTGGATTTTTAGGGAGGGGCTTCGTATAAGATATGCTTTATGCTAGGAAGGCTACTTAATTGTGTCAACATAATCAAGAAGCCTTCACAAAGGTTACTCCTACAATGTTGCAAAACACTTGGAAGGAAATTGGGCAAATTTTGCATGTAACTCATGGTAAAGATGTTGAACTATGGTGATTGTATGCTATAAAATCATTTAAACATTATTCTTGCATGTACAACCAACCATGTGTCTCAGTGTTAAATGTTTTTTCCCAGTATGATTTACTAAAAAGTGTTTCCAAAATTCTTGGACTCCATGTAGATGGAACCTCCTCAATGTCATGATTCACTTTTCTCAAGGGTGGGTGTGCAAAACCACAGACTTGAAGGACCAAGTAGTCTCTTGTTTGTCATACACTATGTTAATTTAAGAGATCTTAACCTATGCCTAATAGCCCTCCTCTGACCCCTTTCCTATAAAATAGAATATTTTATTAGATAAGAAGATCAAAATGGTGCATGTTATTCCAAGTGAACCCTAACTAGTGATTTGTGTATAGACAATAATTACCTCTTTCAGCTTACAACTAAATACACATATATATTGGGCAAATTTTGCATGTAACTCATGGTGAAGATGTTGAACTTTGGTGATTGTATGCTATAAAAACATTTAAATATTATTCTTGCAAGTTGATGATTTCCTGAAAAAAAAGGGTTAGGTTAAATTTTCATTTTTCTCAAGGGTGGGTGTGCAAAACAACAAACTTGAAGGACCAGGTAGTCTCTTGTTTTTCATACTGCCAGAGAAGGGAATAAATTATTTTTTCCTGTTCCCAAGCATTTCTCACCTTTACAATCTATAATACCCAGATCTTTTATGTCCAGTCAAGGCACTTAGATGTTCTGTGGCTCGTGTGGGTAATATTTTGTGGGCTGGTATATGGACTACTCCCAACAGTTTCCTATCTCATTACCTTCATGATCTGGCAGTTTCCTCTTCTATTCCCCCCCCCCCCCCCTTCATGGCTATGTTGACTACCTCTGCTAGATTTTAACAATAAGGTGTGTAACTTTCTTACCTGATCAACAGTTTTTTCTTTTTTCTTCTAGGGTCCCTCTTTATTTTCTTTGGATCCCACTCAGTGGCGAGTATTGCCCAGTCAGGTGTGCTTGTATTTTTTTCAATTGCGTACTAGCAACCTTTATATTGGTTCATGGTTGCAAAAGGCTCTGTCGAGATTAGGTGTTCCATAAGCCATCTATGATAGATACAATTCTGGATGGTAGTATTATCTCACAATACAAATTCAGTGGATTTCTACTCATGGACTTTCTTGAGTCCATGAGTAATTTCCTACAATTTCTAATTTCCTACAATCTTTATGGTTAAGTGTTATTGTAAAACTCATTATATTATCATAACTTACAAATAGTATTTAAGAAGCAAGTTACTTATGGGCCTGAAAATTTTATGTACTGTGACTGACTGTAAATTTAATTATTGCTTTGTCTGCTTTACTAAAATAACACCTTTCCATTTTGTATTTCAGTTCTTCAAGAAAATCCTGATGATGCCAAAGCTTTCCATTGCAAGATTGTTTGCTTGATTCATCTATCTAAATTTGATATTGCTATAAAAACAATTGAAAAGAATTCCAAGTTATCAGAGTGAGTACTTGGACAGTAGTTCTCTCTTTTCTAATGAGTAGTTAATGCCAGATTTAAACATAAAGAAATATTAATATCCACTTGATGAATGTCCTTATGAAATATTTAATACATTATTGTAAAAAAGTACAATAAGATAGTGTGTAGTAGTTTCTCTTCTTAAAGTTTTTTTACAGAAATATTTTCTTGCAAAAGCTCTTGTATAGTTAATTTATGCAGTGTTAAAATTACAAAACATGCATATTCAAAATAAGAGGATATAGTCTGATTACTCAGTGGGTATAGTATATTCTGGTTTGTTTTTTCATAACTCTACATGAGAATGCTGTAAAGGTATATTTTAAGAATAAACTAGATTTGTAGTAATAATCACATTAGAACATAAGAAAGAGTAAGGTGGCACAAAGCCATTTGGACAATTGATGACTTTATAATCCAACAACAAACTAACATAAAAATAATCCCATGCTTTTATTTAACATATTAAACTTAAACTGACTACACAAACCACATACAACTCTAACCAAATATTTTAACATATGGACAACAATGTATCATCCTGTAAATTGCTGGCCTCCACTACTGCCAGTTCAATTCCTTTCATAAGTCATTCACCTTGTTAGAAAAATAAAACTTTCTCAACTAGAGCCTAGCCTATTTTTTCCAAAACTTAAACTCTGCTGTACCATTCTATTATATTCAGAATATAATCCAAATAAATCAGAGGCTGTTATCATATTTATATTTTATATAATTCAGTATGATCACCTTGTACCTTCTTTTCCAAACAAAAAATAAGTTAAGAGGTCTTAATTTATTCCTGTAAAATAATCCTTTCATCACTATGATCATCCTGATAGTCTTGTTTTAAATCAAATCTGCATCAAGGATTCCAAAGCTTAAATCTGTTATGTGTAGCATTCTAGTTACAATTTTAACTTTTTACTGCATTATGAAAACAGGCAATCATACCAAGGCTATGTAAACCCCTAATAATTCTGAGCAGCTAAACCTTGTCATTTAATTCTTTACAGTGTAGAAAAAATAAATCCCATATGTAAGCCTCTTTTTATTTTTTAAATGGCTTATAGTAGCCTATCTTCATTCACTTTCCAACCTACTGATATTCTTCTTGTGGTAAGGGACCAGAAATACATTACTCCAAGTAGGGCTTTGACAGAGTTTTTTAAATGGCAACAATTATTATTATTCGTATATTCAAAATTCCATTCCATTGAACCAAAAACCATGTTTGTTTTTTTACAACAGCTATGTACTTAGCAAAGGGATTTATCAACAGTAAAATCTAAATCCTTCTCATCTTTTGCAATAACAGTGCTCTTTTTATACAAGTAGTAGTCTTTTCCAAGTTTATATCAGTTACATAACATACTTCTCATTATTACAACTCATTTTTGACATTCTGGTCCATTCACTGTGATTTAGATCCTTTTGGATAAGAATTCTTAGAAGCATTTTAATGTCATCAGCAAATTTAAAGGTACTTTTCCAAAAAAAGCCATCCATATCATTTATATGAATAATAAACAATAAAAGACACTAAAACATCTCACTAGTCATACTTTCACAGTCAGAAAAATACCTGTGCATCAGTACCCATTGCTATCTACCAGTTAGCCAGTTTACACTTTTTCTTCTGTTAATTTTGTAAGCATCTCTAACTTAATGTCCTTTGAAAACTTTTCAAAGGTTTTCCGAGAAAAATGATAAACAATGTAAGCTGAGTTACTGTTATTCATTAAAACTTCAGCAGTTTGGTTAAGTAAGGTTAGGCAATAATAAAATAGAATGAAGTAGAAACAGATGGATACTGTTACGAGCCTTAAGATACTTAGGATAAACAATTGTAATTTTATATTATAATTTACAGTCATTCTAGCAAGAAAAAATGGTAATTTAGAGCAATATTTTTAGAATAGTTACAAGATTGGTCAAATTGACCAAATGAGTATGAAGTTAGGCTAGAGAAAATAAAAAATATAAAGTTCTACTAAAAAACACATTTGATATTTGTTTAGGAGGTTTTAGAGATTACACAAATGATAGTTGACAATTTTCAGATGAATAAACGTCTTTTATGATACAATATCTTACCTCGTCTCACATAATAGCTTTTCTCAACTTGTACTGCCTTCTATATAAAAAAAAATATTTGCTCTCCACTAGCCTTTGATTCACCCATCTACTCTAAAGTGTTTTCGTGTAAGGTAGCTGCATAATAGCATGAAAATAGAAGTCCAACAGAACTCCTAACACAGCTGACTCCCTCTATGCAGCTTAGTTGAACTCGCTTCTTGATTGGCACTGGTGGTGTTTAAACGTGTTTTTTCTTGAAATTTGCTCACAGAATTTCAATTAGTTACTTGTTTTATTCTTTGAAACTTAGTTTTTTTAGTTTGCTACACTTCAGTTGTCTAAATTTTCGTTTGTACACATTTATAGTATGTGTTTTTAAGTTTTATGTTGTTTTTTCTGGTGCTCCTTTTGTGGATTTTTTTTTTCTATTTCCACTCATAGCTCTCATGAATTTAGAGTTTAATGTTACAACTACTATTACTACTGCTGTTCCTACTGCAGTTAACCTTACTTCATCTATAATGGCTTTGGGTTGGTAGTTATCATCGGAAGATGTTACTGCCTTGGTTCATCAGGAGTTAGTTATCTTCATGCAGGCTAATGATTCGCCTGAAGATTATCCTGTCATAACTTGTTCAGGGATACTTGAACTAGAGGATGATGATAATTTCAACAGCCTGTTTTCTCCCCATCTTATGCCACACAGTGACATTTAGCTTCTCGTTTCCTGGTGTGGATCAACCAGTTTTGTTGCATTTTGTCATTGTCTCCCATTTCCTTTGACTCTTAGTGCAGCTGACTCCCTCTATACTGTTTGGTTACAATCATCACTTTAAGATTAGGCAAAATATGAACCAGAAGTGAAAAGGATGGGTGAGAAAGGGTGAGTATCTGTCAAAAATACATTTTCATTGTTGTAAAATGTTAATTTCAATACTATACCTAACCTCTTCTCACATAATATCTATGAATTTCACATTGAAACAGTGGAGGGACTGGTGCAAAAGTTACCTATGTGAGCAGTCTTTGGATGGCATCTTAAAAGAACCCATGAAGTTTGAAAATTTAAGATATGGGGTCACACACATGGGAAGCAGCACCACATCTGTATCATGTTGTACTATACGTCTGCTGTAAAGATACGTGTCCTTGATCTGGGTGGAAAAGACACAAGTCCAATCATTAAATGGATACACCAGATGGTGTAAAGTGTCTAGGCATGTGAGACTGTGTTTGGTGGGTCAACTCCAGCACAAAATGAGGCAACATTGGGTAGGAAGAGGGTCCCAACCATCTGCACCTCAAACTTCTATTCCAACACCCCAAGCAGGGCTCATTTGTTGACCCAGTACATAACCACCATCTGGCCTTCCAGGAACCCAACATCTGGGCAATGGCATGAAGGGAGAACATAAATTTGGGGAGACTTATGATCAATCGGACCTTGATGCTCTCGTTGACCAGTTGCCACCTCACTTTTTACTTCTGGGAGACTTTAATGGACACAACCCCCTCTGGGGTGGTGCTGATATTGATGGGAGGGGTCGTTCCATAGAGTGTATGCTCTCGGATCACAACCTTTCTCTCTTCAATACTGGAACATATACTTATTTTCATGCACCTGGTCAGTCTTTTACTGCCATTGATCTCTCAATTTGGTCCCCTGCACTTTTCACTCGCTTTTCTTGGATGGTCGACAGTGATCCACGGGGCAGTGATCATTTTCCTATCATACTGAGAGAGGTTGGCCATGGTCGATGCCACCCGACCCGAGTACCACCACGGTGGAAGCTGGACCAGGCTAACTGGCCATCTTTCACCCCTCTCTCTCTCTCTCTGAACTTGATCCTGCCTT